ATAGTAAACAACATCGTTCCTCATTGGTGGGTTTTGACGAGAACCCAGAGGATAAATTCACCTCCCATCGTCTTTTTTGTCGAAACAAAATAAAAGTAGTTTGGAAACTATTTTTGCCGAGGGTACACGTCTCATGGGTTCTGGTCCATTATAAATAATTTTGAACAGAATGTTGGTCAGTTTGTAGACTAGGCAGAATGTGCTCGATAAGAAGAGGATAAAAGCTCGCCTAAACCAGTACTGAGATATCTCAGGAATCGTCCACCCTTTTATCTGGGCTATTAATCACAGCTTATAATTACTAAATTGATGTTCTTCAGGCAAGGACTAACAGTATGTTATTTTTTGCTCTCCCCACCCCTTCCCTTTGCATCCTTGCTAAGTTTGCTAGGTCGAGTGTTTTCCGTTTTATCTGATTAGGGACCTCTGGTGCTTGACTTCCAGAGGAGAACCGTATAAGGGAAAAGAGTAGTGACTATGGCGGACGTAAGGTAGGAGGCGGGGTGGTCTTACGCACAACCTAGTAGATAAATCAGCGTCCGCGTCGATAACGCTACTCATTCTGCTTCAAGTGTATAATTAACAGCCGAGTCCAGTGGCACTACTGAATATTTCAGTCAACAATCTGGCTGCCAGACTTAAGAATTAAGTTGTCCACTTTGACTTATGCGTGCTAACTGGGAAGCAAACCTGCTTGAAAAACTCCATAATGTTACATAATGAGCTTTCATGAAACAATCCTCTTTGTCTCAGTTTCAAGTTGAGAAGTGAATACAAATGACCTTGCCGTGGAAAAAACGGGACGCGACGAAAGTTCAATGACTGCGTAAAGGGTTGGATTTAGATATAAAAAGAAGTATCAGGGGTGTTGAAATAGGTCGTCCATCGAGTACCTTTCGATGAAAAAGGGTCGAAATGCATGTTCAATTAGCTGCCGTTTATGAAAACGCAATTCGATGCTTCAGTATCCTTTGTTTAATAAGACCAAATTCTTCCACGGGCAAACAAAATATTTTAGCAAAGGCTGCGCATTTGACAACGTATGAATTATCAAAGTTAAATTTGTGCAAATTTGATACTGGAATAGTTGATACATTACTGAAAATGATAGTTCGTATGCATACCTAGCAAATCGCCCCTTAGAATTAGGCGTTAATTTATATGATTGAAGCTGAACGCAAAAAAAATAAATAACAATTCGACTTAGCAGTAATGTTTTCTAACGAAAAGCAGATCACTTACCTGGGCAATTACATTTCCAATATCTTAGACTGGAAAAGAGAATTTAGTAGTAACGAACGTTATTTGGTCAAAGTAGACTGACAAACAAATATAAGCCTAATGTTTGTTGGCGAAATGGGACAACGGTAAGGACAAGCACAAAAAAGGACAAACCCGATATATGAAAGAAAACAAAAACCAAAAAGAAGGCTAAAAACAACCCGATGAAAAAGCTGTCCAATGAGCAAAACGTTAATCACGCGCGAAATTAGAGTATCACATTAGTCTGGTGACTTTTGCAAAAGTACTTCTTCCACTACCTCCGAAAATCCCACTTCCGAGCAAGAGTTATCTACGCATAATGCATTTTAAACTTTGGCCGCAGATTCTTGTGCAAATTTAGTCATGCTTCGTAGAAATGACGAAAACACTTATTTCTCATAATGATTTTGTAGAAGACTACGCCTTCTACAGATTTCTACCTGAAAGTAGGCGTATTGCAGTCTTGGCTTTAGTAAGGGACCGTTTTGTGACGATCGAGAGTTGTTCGTGTTGCCTAGTGTCCATGTCCTTGTTAATGTTGTTTACGAAGTACACAACATAGCCCACGCATAACAGTGTTTTATGAGTACCGTTTTGCTACTTCATGGCAGACGAAGAGGTGGAGGAATTTTCTCCAGAACAAATACATATCGTGTACTTTGGAAACATGACGCACAAGCAAAAATTTCAGGAAGCATGTCAAATAAACGACAAACAGTAAGCTTTTCGCAATCAAGATAAATCATGCCTTCGAGTGTACAGTTAGGATAAAATGGATATTTATTGCGGAATGCGTAGGAGAACTACTTTTTTGTACATGCTTCCGATTAATTAGGCCTGACAAAATTTAGGCATTGAGAATCAGAGGGAAAATACATGATACTTAAACCGAGATCTCTGGTCAAGAGCCTGATTTACACAGGTGACCAAACAGATGCACAAGCAAAAGTCAGTATGTTCTTTTTGAACAAGCTTGTTGCGTTCTGTGTCTATGTACAGGATTGCTTAGTATGCGTGCGTCGGCAAAACATTCAAATTCCAAAGCAGCAGGCTGTTGGATGCGAGGAAACTTAGCCAAACCTTTACTTTCGACTCACTAGGTGAGCGGTGACGTCAACTTAAACTGTTTCCAATATTGTTTTGGAAGGCAAACGGACATTGCGTGTTTGCTAATAATTGTTAGAATACTATTTACAGTGAGCGTCAACTGACGGGTCGTAGAGGCTGCCCTACCTTGGCTCGGCTGTCTGCAGTGCCGTTCGTTTTGGAGGACCAGATTTGCCATAAAGATGACTTTCAATCAAAAAACGAGCAAATATTTATTTAAATTAAACGATCCTACTGGGTTTATGTAGGTTGTCGTTCTGCAATTTCGAGAAGCCTTTGATTAGTGACATTTGTTCGAGAGAACTATGCGGAGTATGGATTTTGTACAACCGGTGAAACTAGCATGATGAGGCCAGTATTGATTTGCTTTATTTATTGATTACTTTCACTTCACGTACGCGATTTCTTTCCCGTCTGTTAAAGCCTGACCTCATAAAAGTTTCATCAACACGGTCCATGTTATTTGACACCCAAAACTGACATAATCCCGATTCTTTTTTTGGACCACTCCTATGTGGCGAGGGTTGTCGGGCTTAGGGTTCTGGTGGTGTGAGCTCATTTCGGGGTATAAACTGCCGCGAGTTTAAGCAATTCACCTACCCCAATCACAGTAAACTGACAAACGAGGAATGAGGAAACGCTACCATTGTACACGACTTAATCATCATTATCATTGACTGAGAAAGAACAATGGGCGGCGCGCGACAAGAGCTAACAGGAAATTACATACCTGCCAAAGGCGTACGCGCGATCACTGGAAGGGCAGGCTTATTAATCTGATCCCTTACATTCGTACAGGAGCCCATCATCATGGACTTTGGGTACTAAGAAAAACATTTTATTTATTTAACAATAAGTGAGCAGTTTTTTGTAGTCAAGCGATGAGGGAGGAGAGAAGGGGTAGTGTTCGCAATTGGGTTGGGGTCACGTCACCTAACTCACAGTGGTTTCTCGGCGTGTTGACGGTGTGCGTCCTTGGCCTACGAACTGGGCCGCGTCACTTAACTGCATTAACGTAGCACATGGCAGTAGGGTGTATATCAAGGTGTCCATTGATGGAGTTGGTGACAAACGTCCCGGCTTTCAGCAGTTCCCGCCCAGCCTTATGGCTGGTTTGTACCATTATCCGCGTGCTCGCGAAGTTGAATTCGTAGCCTTGCGCCAGGATGTAATTAGCGACTGGAGACAATGGGTCGTCCTTTCGAATAGCCCGTTTGTGTTCCAGTATTCGCGAGTTGAGGAGTGTAGGGGTGTCCAGTTATGGGTCCACGTGACGGTCGTAGTAGGTCCCTCACTTGCTTGCAGGTGCAGACTACGCTTGGCGTCCATTTGCTGGCATCCGACTCTCACATGTGGCTGCCCGAAGTTAGGCTCTGCCTAGCGGTCACACTCCGCTAACCGCCTCGACCGGCGGACTAAACTCAGTTAGGGTATCTGTGTGTGCATCTCCGTACACGGTGATCCCGGCTCCGCTGGCCGGCCGGGTCACCGCATCGGCACCTCCGAGATGAGACTCCGTTTACAACACCGTAGGAGGCCACAAGGTAAGTGAGGCCTGGGGTAAGCGAACATTGTTCTGCTACCTTTGCTTTTGCTTGTTCTTGTTTGCTCGCTCTCTGACTGCATCTTTTTGTTTCTCCTTGTTGACAGCTTAAAGCTGTTCTGTTGAATTTTTTCTGCTCATCATTTATATTTCAGCAATCTTTTAGCTTAAAGAGGAACGGAAAATCTCTGAATCCCGTCTCCCTACCCTCCCCCATCTCCACCTCCCCGCACTTCAAGTCCTACGGCGATGTCGTAGGCATTGTCGCTTTTTACTTTTCTCAGAAATTATTTACGAACTTGGAGTAGATCAGTTTATTCAAGGCCATTAGGCTCAGACCAAGAATTTTCTGTGCGAATATTCGGGCCGAAGTCCATCAGCCACAGCGACTAACTACGTAGTATTAATTAACTGCCGACAGGCAGCTAGTAGTATAATCTAGGGCGAGGTGATACCATAATAACAGCACAGGAAATAGCCAAAAACCATACACGCGTGTTTCGCCGAGGTTCTGCCGCTGCATGGCGCAGCTGCGAGGGGTTCGGCTGGTCAGTGGGCCCCCCAGCCTCAGTCAGCTTCAGGCTAGTTCAGGTCGCTATTCAAATGCGCCAAAGCCGAGGACCATAGAGGAGTTCGGCAGCGCCCGACACAACTGAGCCCTCCTATTTAGGGAGAATACTGCTTTCCCTGCGAGGGGCAAGGGGCTACAGAAGGTGCTCTAAACAAATGCTAGGGATCTACGCCGTCTGAAGCTTGACCGTGGTCGCAGACGCAAAACACACGGTCGAAACAACTAACAAAACAACAGCAACAACAACAACAACAGTACACACACTCCCTCTCTTCCTCTTCCGTCTTCTTCTTCTTCTAATCCCGCCCGCCACCCCACTCGCAAGACTGATAGGGTGAGCCCGATATCTCTGGCAGCCTGGAATGTTCGTTCCCTTTTATACAACCCGAGGAGCAACCGACCGGAACGAAGGGCGGCTCTAGTCGTTCGGCAACTAGAGCGCTACAGGGCGGACATCACTGCAATTAGCTAGACCCGTTTCTCCGAATAGGGTCAACTGGAGGATGTGGATGCCGGCTACACCTTCTTCTGGAGCTGTCGCCCAGGGCATAGCGACGGAACGCGGGTGTCGCCTTTGCCATCTTGAACGACATCGTAGGACGACTGCTCTGTCTGCCGCAGGGCATCAACCATCGTCTGATGAGCCTCCGCCTGCCTCTCGGGCGAGGCAAATTTGCCACCATCCTCATCGTCTACGCACCGCCGATGACTAGTCCCAACGACGAACGGGACAAATTCTACGATGACATGCACGCCCTCCTGACGATTATGTCGAAGCCGGATAAGTTGATTGTCCTTGGTGACTTCAACCTCCGCGTCGGCACAGACCATGCTGCCTGGAGAGGAGTGCTGGGTCGCCATGGTATCAACGGCCTCAATGACAATGGCCTGCTTTTACTACGGACCTGCGCAGAACACTGACTCATCCTGACGAACACCTTCTTCCGCCTTCCAATGCGAGAGTAGCCGCCTGGATGCCTCCTCGGTTGCGCCAATGGCACCTGCCGGACTATGTCCCAGTCCGGAGGCGAGACCAGCGGGAGGTACTGGTGACAAAGACGATTCCGGGTGCCGACGGGTGGACCGACCATCGCCTCGCCATCTCGAAAATGCGTATTCGCCTACAGCCTCGCAGTAGACCATCAGGGCCGTGCAGCAGCTCTTCAGCGGTCCCTGCTGAGATTTACAAGCACGGTGGCCCCCAACTCATGGATCATCTGACTGTGCTCTTCCAGGAGATCTGGCGTCAAGATGAAGTCCCGCAGGCTCTCAAAGGCGTCACAATCGTCACAGGCGGAAAGGGACCGCCAAATCAGCGACAAAAAGTGAAACAAACCCCTTGCTGAACATCGCCGGGAAAATCTTTACTCGTATTCTTCTCAATCGTCTGAACCATCATTTGGAGCAGGATCTTCTGACGGAAAGCCAGTGCAGCTTCCGCCGTCATCGTGGAACCACGGACATAATCTTTGCCGCCCGCCAACTTCAGGAAAAGTACCAGGAGATGCGGACTCAACTGTACGCTACCTTTATGGATCAGAGGATAGATTTTAACATGATGAATCGCAAAGGACTGTGAAAAATCATGCAGAAATCCGGCTGTTCAGGGAGATTCACTCAGATGGTGCATGATGGCATGATGGCGCGCGTCACGGACAACGGAGCTGTCTCTGAGGCATTCGCAATGACCGACGGAGTGAAGCAGGGCTTCGTCCTCGCACCCTTTCTCTTCAGTCTTATGTTATCTGCCATGCTGATGGACGCCTACCGTGACGAACGCCCTGAGGTCCGCTTCGTCTACAGGATGGACGGCCACCTCATCAGCCATAGACGGCTGCACTTCCAGTCGCGTGTATCCACAGCCACCGTCCACGAACTTCACTTCGTCGACGACCGCGTCCTCAACACCACCTCGGAAGAGCACATGCAAAGAGGCATGAACCTCTTCGTCGCCGTCTGCGACAATTTCGATCTGATCATTAACACGAAGAAGACGGTGGTCATGCACCAACCGCCACCCAACACTGTCCACAACGAGCCGCAAATCAGCGTGAACCGAACCCAACTGCAAGACGTGAACAACTCCACGTGGCTAGGCAGTACCCGCTCCCGCTGCACCAAAATCTACGACGAAGTAGCCCGCCGTATTTCCAAGGCCAGTCACGCCCTCAGTCGTCTTCAAAACACAGTTTGAAATCGTCACGGTCTTGAACTCAGCACGAAACTGAAGATGTTTAAGGTCGTCGTCATCCCGACGTTGCTGTATGGAGCAGAGACTTGGACGGTAAACATGAAGCAGGCCTGCTGGCTCAATCGCTTCCATCTTAGCTGTCTTCGATGTATACTGAAGCTGAGGTGGCAGGACCGAATCCCTGACACTGATGTACTGGAGCTGACGATAATCCTCAGCAACTGCGCCATTCTGAGACAACTGCAACTGCGTTTGCGCGGCCATCTCGTGCGGTTAGACAACGATCGGCTACCTAAACGCCTCTTCTACGGAGATGTAGTCAGGGGTCCCCGCCGACAAAAAGGCCAAGTCCACCGCTACAAGGACAGTCTGAAGACTTCCGTAAAGCATCTGCAGGTCAACCCGGCCGACTGTGAAGATTTTGCCCGAGACCGTCCGATCTCGAGCAGGACAGTGAAAACAGGCACAGCGATCTATGAAGACAATCACATAACCGCTTCCAATGACAAACGCGAGGCCCGCAAATCCCAACTGCGCCCACCTTGCACCGCTAATACTCAACCGCTCCCGACCTGCTCACCCTGCCAGCGGACGTTCCGCGGACCAATCGGCCTTGTAGGCATCTGCAGCACGCGGACTACCATTGGCCGCACTTCCGAAGCCCCACTACAATCCTCCTCCTCCCCATCGCCTCAATGTCCAAAATATACACTTGACCAGAATTTTTCACCACCAACAAAAACAACAACACCCCAACAGGGATCCGGATGACGAGGATAACTGGGCAACCATGCCCACCACCTGTACACTCAGCGGGAGCGCAAGCGCATCTACCGCCAGGGAACCAGGTGTCAGGGAACTGCCAACGCATACCGGGCTGAGAGGGCCATGGTTTGCTGATATTGGCACAGCATAAGCTTTCAGTCCTTCTGACCTAGAAAGGCGGCACCTGGCCCTACAGTTAGCTCTGGCTGTTACGCTTCAAATTTGGGTAATCAAACAGTCGTTGACTGAGAGACACTATCCATAAAGCACACACAAATACAACCACTCTTCTCACATGCTTGTGACTGTCACGGATCTCTTGAGAGGGGGTCGTGACAGCCTGGCTCTCAGGCCACCAATCCGCTATTCCACACAACACACACAACTGAGCAGATTGCGTGGACTGAGTTGGGGTGTCAGTCGGTTGCCTTCCGAGTCACGGCGCTCGACACACCGTCTTCGTCTCAGGTTCCGATCACACATGCAGAAGGGGGCCGCATAGATGAGAAGGCAAGACGCACACTTACCAACTGCGTGGGAGGTAGCAGTTGGGTGCTTGAGGTGGGTGATGTTGATGTGCGGTGCTGATGTTGGTGAGGGAGGATGTGATGATGTGGTGCAACCGGCGGTTGTCTACCGCTGGTTTTCCAGGACGCGCATGTGGCCTAATAGACGTATGCGGGAAATAAGTGAGTGCGGGCAGTGAGGGCAGTGGAGGTGATATCGGAATTGACCGCATTCTCAACACACCCAGCACCTCCTGCCCATCCATCATGCCTAGCTCCAACCACCCACCGCCGCCCAGCGGGTCCACCATCAGCAGCTCCACCAGTGCCACCATCTCCGAGACGGACACTGCCTGGTCGGTTACTTGCGAATCAATAGCACAGCGACTGACGAGCCAGTGCCTAGCACCAACCTACGCTTTCCCCATTCGCCTCTACTCTCTACACTGCAGCAGCACGTTCACCCACCGCATAGGCCCTATAGGCCACATGCGTATTCACGAAAATCTGCGGTAAACAACCGCCGGCTGCACCACACCATCAAATTCTCCCTCACCACCATCTTCTCGCACATCAGCATCCCCCACCACAAGCATCCAGTTGTCACCTCCTGCGCAAGTGGGAAGTGTGCATCCCGACTCGGTCTCCGTGAGAATCCTGCTGCGTGGGTGACACGAGTCTGAGATTATCACGGCGTGTTAAGCGCTGTGGCTGGTAGGCTGCTGACCGACGCCCAAACGAAGTCCGCGCAGTCTGCCCAGTTGTGTGTGTTTGTGTAGAATGGCGGACTAGTGGGCTGAGAGCTAGGCTGAAGCGTCTCCTTCCTAATGTGGCCTACGGCACGCTCACGCATTTGAGATGTACGCCGCCCAACCTTCGTTGTGTGAAATCCTAGTGCTTGAGTTTAGTAGGGGCAGGCCGTGCACGTGGCGCGCGCAGCCAAGGTCACTAGGCTTGTCAGCCACCACGCCCATGCCCGCACATGCCAACCGACTGGCTCGGACAGTGGCTGGGGCCTGGGAATGGGAAGGGAGAGTGAGCTAGACGACTCAGCGAACTTTCCTCTCTATAAACAATCTGACGCGCTTGAATCTATCATGGTGGGCTAAAAACCGTGGCTTGGAAAGTTGCCAACTGACGGGATAACTTGGACCTCGCAGTCGGTCCACTGCCTGTTTGTTTGGAATGACCGGATGGTGGTCAGAGAGTCAGGCTGCAATGGATCCTTCTTAATATGGCCTTGATGGCACTCCCACTTCGTGGGATACGAGCCAGGTGTGGCGGTACGCATAGGTGCGGCTTCGGCCGTGTCAAAAACTTGGTTACTTGTTGTGTGGACAAGGGGGTGTGGAGTGGAGCGCCAAGGTGCGTGCCATCCACCTGCGCCCTCCCCCGCCTCTGGTCCTCATGACTATGTCTTTACACCGGGTGCGGGTGGGGGAGGAGGAAAGAGTTCGGTCAAGGCAGCGCAAGTCCAAATTCACTATAAACGAAATCACACGGAAGTCCTCGTCCTTGTTCTCACCTGGCTGTGGAGCACACGGTGGACACCGTCGGCAATGACGTTCGAACCGTCATGCTTCCTACAATTTTTGCTTGTGCTTAATGTTTCCAAAGTACACGATATGTATTTGTTCTGGAGAAAATTCCTCCACCTCTTCCTCTGCCATGAAGTAGCAAAACGGCACTCATAAAACACTGTTATGCGTGGGCTATGTCGTGTATTTCGTAAACAACATGGACACTAGGCAACACGAACAACTCTCGATAGCCACAAAACGGTCCCTTACTAAAGCCAAGACTGCAATACGCCTACTTTCAGGTAGAAATCTGTAGAAGGCGTAGTCTTCTACAAAATCATTATGAGAAATAAGTGTTTTCGTCACTTCTAAGAAGTATGACTAAATTTCCACAAGAATCTGCGGCCAAAGTTTAAAATGCATTATGCGTAGAATACTCTTGTTCGGAAGTGGGATTTTCGGAGGTAGTGGAAAAAGTACTTTTGCAAAAGTCACCAGACTAATGTATATTTATAAAGTTTTTTATGTCACTATTGAAAATTCTTCATGTCGGTCGTGCTATAGCATACACTTTCATTCATTTGTTTTCTTCGCTTTGCTATTTTTTTATCTTGTCGTTTAGTTTATTTTCTATATCTCTTCGTGCGTGGTTGACAACATCCATGTTATTGCATCTTGGGTCAGATAGAATGTTGTGCCAATTACACATCCGAGTTTTATAGACCTGTTGTTTAGCCTTTTTTGTCCGCCTTTTTAAAATTTATATTGGAAATCTGTGCATCTTACTGATAGGAACAATGGAAGGGTCTCTTTGATTGTTAAATCTCGACATCTTGGTTAATTTATATGAGCTTTTCTAAAAGGTATATCGTCTAACCGTGACTTTCTCACACAATAATCCTTTTTTGGGGAAGAGCACATTTACAGAAAACCCACCGCATCACTTTGGTAAATGGCATAATGTAGGATTAGATTGTATCCTTCACTTTGTAGAATTTCTTCCTTTGCAGAAATCTCAGGTATTTATTTGCTTATGCGTACGTCCCCACAACTGTTATGAGACAAGAAATTAGTTCTGTGGACGTTCTTAATCTTTCATTTCCTGGGATCACGTGCTTGTGAACAGAAGGTTTCTTCCTTAACTTCCCAAAGCAGAAAAATAATTCGCTCTGGAATTTCTTCTAAAGACTTTTGAACAATAAAGGGGGCAGCAGTGCGTTGTCGGTCGAGCACTGAACAATGTAATATGCAAAATTCTTCAGTCCGCTAGAAAATACCAAGAACAAAAAGGGAGTGCTATCTCGGAAACCTGCGATGATAGCCATTTTGACGGGGTCGGATGGATACAGAGACCTTTTAGAAACTGATAACTTTCAGAAAACCGTCATTGGACTACACATCCAGAAAGGGGTGTTCACTTACACACACCTACTCCCTTGGCTTTTTTCGGCAAAAGAAGACATCAAAAATCTTTTCAAAAATATCGACCTTTAAAGTCAGATCTTAGTTGCGCTGCTCCACCTGTTCAAAAAAGGTGGCGTGACTGTTAATAAGGACTAACCTGAACAAGTTAACAAAGCAACCCGAATCCAATTAACAGACATTTTTCGCCCTAATCCTGATTCAGCGTTAAAAAGCCATCCGCAGCCAACAATAAAAGTTTTTTTCAGCTTTTTAGCTGATAATTGTAAACTGCAACGTGGCAAAATACACTCCTCTCCATGCACTGAGCAGCTCACGCGCATACATGCTTTCAGGTTACACAAACCGGATGTACTTGCGGGAATCATATGGCCTCCTGTTAAATCATCTATTAATAGCCCTGTTTTGAAACACTCAATGTGTTTAAATAATTCTAAGAATCGTTTACGATCAACTATCTAGTTTTAATGATTCCGAAAGACATAGCGGACCGATATATGTCCCGACAAACGAATACTTTCTTTTGAAATCCTGGTTCTTCTGTCTTTAGTCCCTTTTAAGTTGTTTGCTGAATGCAAATTTACGGATTGCAGAATTAACTCATTAATATTTCAACACATTGCATGTTAGGAATTTTGGTCTGAAAACTCATGCGTTTCCGACTATCAACATTGCCAACAAGCCGTGGAAACACTAACGGACGACCTAGTATCAATTAAACTTCCCGTATTACCTTCGCTGCTATGCTCTTAGCAACTTGTACCCAGTTGTCTTTGTTGATGTTATCGTTGCTGATGTAAAGAACTATGTCAACCAGGTCCATCGGGTGCCAAGTCCTATCTTTTCATAAGCACCTTTTATTTACAAAGAAGCCATCAACTGACCTCCAGTTTCTGGAAACAAGCAGTGTAAGAACCAAACCACGGAAGCTTCAGGAGAATTCTATAGAAAAGCAGCCAATCTTGAAGTCCTCCAAAACTATTGAAACAGGCATCGTGTTGCCTAAAAACGGCACTGTCGTGCATCTTCTTCACTGCGCCTTTGCATTATGCATTAACGGGGATCTGCTTTAGAATGAACTAAGTATATATAGCGTTTATACAAATACAAGGGGCGCTCGACGTGTTCCACATACTCTCGGGTGCAAGCGATAAGGTCTTCACGTTACCGTACACATAAGAAAGTTCTGAAGCTCGATCACGACAGATGAGGGGCGTCGACATCCATAATTCACACTTGCCCGTGTCATTTCCGTTGTAGCACCGATAGGAGCCAAGGATTCCACGCCAAGGCCTTATAACCACGATGGTTACTAGGAACGTTTGTGAACAGATAACATCTATTGTTTCAACGCCTGAAAAACTGTTCTATGACAAAGTCACTGCATGCACTCAACATGAGTCCTTGGTCTTACTATTGCAAGCATACATATATCTTAATGAAAAAGGAAGAGGTTCTTCGGAAAAAATCGAGTTGTACTCGTGAATTTTCGAATTGGTGACACCAACCCGTCGTCAGACGAAATGAAGAGAAAAGAGAGAGTGAGACAGTCACACTA